GAAAACTGTACAGTTTTATCAAAATCACAATTAGACATTTTCTTAGCGCATAAAAATCAAAGTAGATGTGATTTTCTGTTAACAGAATACAAGAAAGGATATTTTGTGCATGTCTTATAGTTGAATTTATACGGGTCACATAAATGAGCACAATAATCCAGACCACTTAAAGTCATTTTTGAGTGCGGTTTTTGCAGACGGCTGGTAACTTGGCGTACTCGAAATAATGCATTACGCCGTGTGGTGATCGATATTACAAACCCATCTAAGTCGCATTTCACAATAAAAACCGCTTAACTTTGCATTAGATCGGACGCTTACTGCAGTTGTTTGCGAGGAATTCTTTTTACACTTTGAACGACTTCCCTTTGTTATGAGCGAGACCACAAGACTGCCAATTTAAGATATTTCCCTATGGCCACGGGCAAGCGGATTCCTCTCTAGTAATATCTTCATAACAATCCAATTTCGTCATTATGGTTATTATTTTTTTTCGTTATCATCCAGAGTAAGTTCGCAAAACTACTGTTTCAGGTAACGTGTCGGCTACAGTATCTTTGCATCTTTTACTTAGTCTGATTTACATTCGCTTGTTATTCTTTCATGAGGAATATCCTCAGGGCAAACGAGCTATTTCGTCGTTGCCAGCCAAACAATATATCTTTCTATTTATTTAGTGTATCAGGTTTTCTTCTGCGCAATTCTTTAAGGCCTTTCAGTTTCCATTGTTAGCTTAAGCTAACGGACATTGAGAATGCTCCTACGGTGGCCTAAACTCCAGTCTTCCGGCCCTATAACTAAGCGGAAATGGAAACTACACTCGCCGTTGGCCGATAGGACGACAAAAGCGTTTTCTCGTTCTTTGGTTGAATTATCCCTGACTAGGGTTACGTCATTGATAAATATTTTGTTTAAACTTAACCTGGTGCATTAACTGGCTCATATCCCGGCCGCCTTATTGTCCAAACGAACATCTTATTCGTCTTCGGGGGTTCTTTCAGAAATCAGTGAATGTAAAACTTTGCTTCTTCGTATCTGCACAGCCATATTTGTAATCTATTTATACGTCTTAGCCAGACTGCTGGTTGAGCTTCGTGAGATTTGGCACTGTCGTCTTCCCAGAAAGCGTATCCTGCCGTAGTCGCAAGACTTGTTACATAGTATGCTATTTGGATTCATTTTTTTCGTAAATCGCCATGATCGACTTCCTGCACTAGACGCTCCCATTTGAAGACTAGTAGTTATCCTTACCATGGTTACAACGGCTACTTCCGTTGCATGCTGTATGGTATGTTGACCTCTGAATCTCTTAGTTCTTTTCTTGTTGTTTCCCTTGGTTTATTTCTACTTAGGGGTATTATGCTGTTTCTTTTAAAGACTTCAAGTCAGGGAGTTGGTTCTTTGGGAAGAGTAAAGCGTTTTAAGTAAATTCGATTTTCTTCTGCCGAAATCGGGTTCGTAAAGAAGCTTGAAAAAAGTTCTAAACAATATATCGTGGCTTTTAACCACACATTCGTCATTGTAGACAATGAGTATGAGCATTTTATTTAACCGTAGGACCGTGACGGTGTTCCGGACAGCCACCTAGATTTATATATCTGGACCATTTTTATGCGTGCAGGACCTTACGTGGTGACACGTTAGTCTGGTCTGTTTACGAGAATATTCCTGTTTGTCTTTTCTGACCAGAAAGATGGTTTTTTGATAGCATCGTATCTCATGCGCATACATTCTTGGCCTTTTCAGGTGATTTACTTCCAGCGGACGGTATTCTCGTGCAGAGCAATGACCTCAAGATCGATGAGAGTGCGCTGACCGGTGAATCCGATCAAGTGAAGAAAAGTGAATCCAAGGACCCCATTCTACTCTCCGGTGCGTTCACTTTGCTACTCGTTTTTCTTATTATTGGTATTTCGTCTGTAGGAGCGTCATCCCTCCTAGCTGTATGAACGAATTTTGTAATCGATTTTGGACGTTAAGTCTGCCTACCTCGTCTCTTCCCTAAAAATTTGATCGAATATGTGCTTGCCACTTATGGCATCTGTTTCGCCCTACGAATGTACTTTTTTTCATTCGCGCTTGCCTTCCGACGTTCACATTAGCTGTGGAATTTCTGACTGAATTGTGCAAACTGCTTTCTGGTGGGCTATTTTATTGGACCACAATTACTTAGGAAAGAAGAATCTTGTCTTACTATCTGACAACACAGGCCACTGTCAGTCGAGTAACTGAAGATTTCCAGGGACCTTGTTTTATGTTCCTTCTCTGTACAGGCGGTAGGTAAAGTTTAGTTTGAATCTACAGCTATGGCCAGGGACTGAATGTGGTCTCTGTCACTAGTATTTCCGTGTACAGCTACCCGGCGCTTTTTTATATTACAGTTAGCATTGTTAGTAGTAGCTTACCAGAAAACTACTGTTTCTTCTCCCTTTCTTCTTGATCGGTATTTTTAGGTTCTCGATACATTTTGAGTCGTCATTGTTATGATGACTGTCACTAATTATTTGAGTTGCTTCTTCCCCCAAACCGAAATAACAGGAAGATGTGACAGACTGCGGGAAATTTGGGCCGGGAGCTACTGCCCATCCGCAGTAGAACTGTCGTGATTTTTGGCGGTCGTCTGACTCCCAACCTTAAAAAGTGCTACATTGGACCTAGCTGATCGAACTTTAGTTCAACTTCAGATGCCAGTTCAGTGTACAACATAAAGAAGTTGAACCTAGAGTGGTTTGTCCCAAGGCAAACCCAGCTATTTTTAAATCGTTTCTATTGAAAGACAATTAGAAGTCATGTTAATTTGAGATATCTGCTAGCCCAGTTTATGCCTTCGATGTCACCCGCCGATTAGCGAGAAGATTTTCTTTGTTTACAGTCTATAAAGTTAGTCGATGGTGCACTTCACTACTAAATGCTGTCCTAGATGCCTTTGTATGTCCAAAGGGACGCAGAGCATACCTAGGACGTACAGGCTCATACATCCGACAATATAAACAGTAAAGTCACGCATAAACTTCCAATTTGCCGCGTGGTAGCACAGCTTCTTGTTCCTCCTCCTCCTCCTCGCCTTTTGAACACCCTCGTTCTACTTTCCCCCAGCTAATTTATATTCCCTTACTCCTCTTACGTAGTTTTTCGGTTGCCCTTGCGAGAGACGTGCGTAAATTTATTATAATTGCCGTAGGGAGGGTAAATTTAAGGTTTCTAGCTTATTGTGAGTCCTTACCTTGCGTTACTTCAATCCGAGATTTATATGATGTACGATTCAGACCCGAGTCAGTCTTGCATCGAATATCGTCGTCATGTTACCGCTCTCGAGGCTTTTTACTGAAGTACCAAGGTTACACGACATTTTCGTGATCAGAACTGATCGACGCACGTCACTCCAATGTGAAAATCGTATGTTCTGAAGCCGTTCGTTCGCAATCTCAGTAAGCTCTAGTTGTTGGCTCATAAGCTATTTTCGCCTACATCCAGTCATACAATGCTGACGCATATTCATGCACGGAAATGATGATTCAGTGTCGTGGTCCGGTTTTAACATGCGCATAAGCATGGATCACAGCTCTGTCACTTACCAGAAACTGTGTAGTCATAGTCAGACTTCAAACGTATAGGAAATACTGCGCGATAAATATTCAAGTAAACAGTCTATGTTCTCACGAATGTGGTCGCAATGGAGACAGATGTTACATACACCTGCTGTTCAACCCCATTCGTCTCTATGTTTCTTTCCTGTATTATTCTTTCGCCTGGGCAGACTGTGCTTGTTTGTGCCCCTTATCATCGACCACAGTAGTTTGTTGGCTTTGCTAAATTCAGTAGCTTGGTACGTGGCCTCGTTTTTATGATAAGATAGTATCACGCATGGTAGATCCGAGCCGTCAACCCCCGCCCGCTTTGGTGTACTGTGTGCTGAACATTTCTTGTCTGTAGCACACGAAAACGGGCCATCTAGCTGTGCCAACTACTGCGCCAGTCCATCTACCAGTTGACCGGCTTCATAGAGAGAGGAGAGAGTGAGGTTTACTACGGGTACACCTCACTATAAACAATCTGACGCGCTTCTAAACTACCCAGATGCGTTAAAAGCAGTGGCTGGGAAGACTACCTACTGGCCGGATAACTCGGTCT